GGTGGAAAGAGTATTACAAACATTTACCTAGCATCTTGTAGGAAGTGAAAGGAAGAAAACGTATACTGTCTTATTAGAACACTGATCAGTAAGTCCAACTTAAAAGTAACAATTTTACCTCTGAAAGGGGTCATGTTTTTGTTTGTTTTTAAAGGTTTTTGTCATAGGGTGCATATGTTAGCTGGAGAGAGACGGAGAGACAGAGGGGATGGCCGCACCTCAATCCCTTCTCTTCCCTGCCCGGAATTCTGGGCACACAAGCACATGCGTCCAGAGTCTGCCACTGGGCCCAGGACTTGAACTGCAGTCGGCCACGTGGGAGTCCAGCACCCTAACCACTACACCACCCACTGGCCCAGGGTCATGCCACTCGTCTAACCAGGAGCACATCACAAGGCCTCCTCCAATTTTCTAATAAGTCACGCTTACGGGGAGTTAGAAGGAGGTGGTATACAAGGTTTTTTACTTACTTGAAATAGGAAGTTAAGAACTCAAAATTGGGAAATGATTTCACCCTTCAGGAAACTGATACTGTTCTCATCTCCTTTCCTTCCCATGGAAGGAGGGGGGTATTTGAAAAGCTTTATAAGTAAGCTTTACATGGAACAGACATTTTGAAAGATAATTATCTACTATTGGGGGACTGCTGAGACAGATTATGATGATATACTGTGGAATATTTTCCTGCCTGTTAATAGTGAGGTGATCTCTGGGTACTTTTATCCACTAGAAGTGGATAAAACAGCTACTGTATGATGCAGTCTGTCACAAAATGAGGTATTATATGCTAATATGTTATATTAGCACAGAGAAAGGACAGTCAGGCAGAGGGAGGTGTCTATAATGTCACCTCTAGCACATGGCGAGATTTGTGTATTTATCACCATGAAAATGTATTGACGAACTACTTGTATAGAAAGGAAAAAAAAATTAACGAGGTAAACCACACAAGCAACACGTGTCTTTCTGGACAGCTTGAGTCTGGAAGAGGCTAGGCATTTCTCTCGGCTCCTGGTTCTAAGTGAGTTGAGGATGTGTTGTTATGGGGCCTACGCCCTGAGCCTAAGTATCGGCCACTCTTACGGACACTCCTGCAAAGCGACCTGTTCTGAAAAGCATCTACCCATAGTCCCAAAAAACGTGCCTAAATTCAGCCATGACAGACCCGATGACTTAAGCTGCCCAGCACCAATCCTACCATAAATGTCCCATCCTTGTGACTTTGTCTACACCTAATTACTTCCCAAAGTCCCCCTCTCCGAATATCATCGCACTAGGGGGGACTTCGACCTAGGAATTGGGGATGGGGGACACTCGGTCTGTAACAGCAGCACATGCAGGCAGTTCATTTCTTCCACAGTTTGGATAAACACTCCCAGATCTCAGGGCGTGAGGCTATGCAGTCACGCTCCTGTTCCACACTAAGTTGTCCCTAGCTACGTCCTAAACCTTGTCACTGTCTGGGAAAGAAGCTGCACCCTTACTGGCATTTGGGAACAGATGTGATAGAAATGGGAGTCCTCTGGGACACAGAACCGCCTTCCAGCAGTTTCCACAACAGTGGCTGGCACGTGTGCCATGTCCGAGTCACTGAGAATGGTGCTCGTCCCTCCTCCCCGGGGCAGCCCGTCAGCATTCTCAACACAGATCCCTCCTCTCCGCAGAAGGGGAGCTGGGTGCTGTCACACAAACTCCGTCCCTCCCGTACTGACACGCGCCCCTGCTGCTATGAGCATGGGCAGACGTCTGGGAGGGAGGGGGCCAGTGCGGCCTGACCCAGGACAGCGCCTGTACTGTGACATGGAGCTCAGAGGGCAGTCTTCCAAGCAACCAGGTCCCTCATCTGAACGCCCCCTTCCTCTCAGCCCCATGATCCCCCAAGGGAAGACACAGGAGAACTCTCCAAGTGCTCAGGACTAAATCTCTGCTGAGCACGTGGAAGACGTGCCACAGAATGAGAGGAAGGGAAAGTGAGGGCTGGTGAGGCAGCCGTACCGACTTCCCCCCGCCCGCAGCACAGAGCCTTCCGTGTCCAAAGTCACGATTACGTGTAAGTCGTCTTCTGCTGTGTGCCAGTTCCGTGCAGTTGGCTTTTCCACCCTCGTCCAGTTGAATCTGACCCGCTAGGAGAGTGGGTCTGTGGAATCTAGAAAGGCTGAGTAGGAGTATCAGGCCTTACTGAATAGGCACACACCTGAGCACCTCTAGGCAACCTGAAAGCTCCGGGTCTCAAGGCCAAATGCTCCCACACACACCTCGGAAGTTACGAGCGTCCTCGGGACTCCCTCCGGAGGGCTTCTGCTCGCTACCCTCACAGCCACAGGGCACACCAGGGCCAACGGGCAGCCCCACGTTACTGCAAAACTACCACAGAGGACCACGATCCTGGCCTGATAAAGGCCGCCAGAGCCCACAAGGCCAGCACGCGGCTGGAGTCCGGACTGAGCAGCTTGAGAAACATGTCCTCCCTGTTGGCATGCCCAAAACCCTGCAAGGAGGAAGAAGTGAGAGAGAAGAGATGGCAGCGTGACCATCCCACGGTGGGGTGGGGAGTGCTTTCTCAACAATAAGTAAATCAAAGCTACCGGGCAGCTGCCCTCCACCCTGACGATAGGTACCAGCCCGCACAGTCCCTCCAGACCTCATGACTTCTGTAATGAGTACCTGGTGAAGGAGCAGGGCAGAGTCCCCACGGCGCTGTCCCCACTGCAGCCCTCACCGATCCAGGCTGCCTCACACTGGACCCGTGTGAGTGGCGGGCTAGGTGGTGGATCGTGGTTTCAACACCTTATTGGGAGTGCTTGCCTCTCTCTAAGAAGTCAATCAACTTTGAAAGAAGTTTTTAATTTCTAAGGAAATTTACACGGGGGTGGGAGGCCAGAAGGTAGTGCAGCAGCAACACAACTTAGGCTTACATGGGGAGGTCCTCAGTTCACATCCTGAAACCTCTCTATACACGCTGGCTATGTAGGCGTGTGCTCAGGATCTGGGCTGGCAGGGGCTGGACTGTGGTACAGGGCCCTGCCAGAGCTGTCACCCTCCTTCCTTTTCCTGTGTGTCTCTTAAGAATGTACTCTGCTTCACCAGAATAAGAAGTTTCTGATGTGTCATACATTCAGTACCAGGTGGCAATCGTCTTCAGAGTCCCCCTAGGAGGAGGACTAGAGGTGGAGCGTGGACATGGAGGGGACCAACTCCTCCCTTCTGTCTCCTTCCCACCAGCCGTCCAGGACGGGACCACTCCTGATTTACCACCACCCAACTCTACACAAGGGGCATTCGTGGAAAGGAGGGATTATCTCAGGACCCAGGCTACGTGGTGGTTTCCCTTTCAGCTGGAAGCCTTCATTCCCTGTCATCTGGAAGGCAGAAGGAAACCCCCATGACTATGCTTGCCCAAAGAACAGGAAAACCGAACACTCATCTTCCATAATGAACTCGGCAGCTTCTTCCAAGCTCAACAACTTGGCACTGCAGATCACAAAAACCAAACTATCATCCTTTCCTAACCAACTTTCCCCCCAACTTCACCATCTCCATCAAAACCACCAGCACTCGCCACTGGCCGAGACGCACAACCTTCACGCCAGCTCTGACCAGTCTCTGCCCTCGAAGCATGTCAAGAACGAGGTATCCACGTGCCACTTCTAGTTCCTTGATCTCTTAGAAGTCACCCAGCACTCCCTTCCACTCGTCAGGCCATCCACGCACTCCATGCACGAGACCTCAACCAGGCCCACCTCGTGGCATGCGGCCCTCCTGGCCCCATTCTCTCACCGCCTTCCCCAGTCCACCTGCCGTTACTTATTACGTGCTATTTTCAATCGGTCTGTCCTCTGCTCGGTCACTGACTTCACACTCCTGAGATCAGTCTACACTGGCCTGTTCTAAGCAGACCTAGGCCGTATTCACTGTGGAATTTCAGGAGCCCTGACTAATCCTCCTGTCTCCGCAAGGAAACTTCACGTCTCCCCTTCCAGGATCACGTGACATTCCCTGCCATCTCAAAGCCTTGGCAAAGGCCTTACCTCTGGGGCAGGACGATGGTACAGCACTAATGCTACACCCAGCCAGGCTGACCCCGGGGGAGGGTTCAGATTCAGGTCCAAGGACTCCCTGGACAAAGTGGGTGTGATGTACACACCCATGATTCAAGGAGTGGAGGACTGCATGAGGTATCTGTTGGGGGTGTCTGACTATCTCTGTCTGTGGTTCATAGAAGAAATAACTAAAAAACAAAAACAAAAACAACTTAAAAACAAACTCACCTCTGCTTACCCAAAGCCCCCCAAATTGTCCCCTGAGGCCCGGTACCAAGGACCTCCTCCCCCCCTCCCCAGCTGTCCACAGCCCCCTACATGCCTTCCTGGGCTCTCCACTGTCTCGTGTGGAGTCAGACAGCTGACGAGAACAACCACATAGCCACGTGCTCTCCCCAAAGCAGACTTCCCATCTCAGAATCAATGAGAACCCAGAACTCAGAGCGGGCTTGTCCATCTCACCTAAGGGACACAGGTGTCCTGACACGGCCAAGCCACGTGTGCTCCGTCGGCCACCGCCCAGCTACAGCTCATCAACAATCCCTCCAATGTGTAATGGGACAGTGGGAGGCGACCTCGCTCCCAGCACCGGCTTCGCATCCTCCCTGTGGCCACTCTGGAAATCGCACAAAACCGAGGCGGCTGCACAGATATGTCGGTGTGGGCGTGGGAAGAGGTTGTGACTGTTGTTCTTGGCCCGTCATAAGGGTGGGGGACACCGACTCTAAGCTACAGCCCCGGGGGGCCCGGCACGGGGACAAAACAAGGGGTGGGAGTGCGAGTGGAGCCCGCGGAGGTGCACGCTTGGCACGCGAGGGACGAACATGACAACCACCACTTGGGACTCCAAACCGGATCCGCGCCATCGCAGCGCGGAGCACTCCCGGGAGCGCCAAGATCGAGGCCCCAAAAGATGGAGGCGCGGCCAAACCCGTCTCGCCCGCCGGCGCCCCGCCTCACCGATGGAGATCTCCTGCGCGAAGGCCAGCGAGATGAGCAGCAGCGGCAGGCCCCCGCCAACCT